AAAAAAATTCCTTCCAGTAGCACCTTAAAGACCAACTAAGTTAGTTCTTGGTATGAGCTTTCGTGTGCATGCACACTTCTTCAGATACACTGAAGATACACTGTGTTTTTTGTTTTGACTATGGCAGACCAACACGGCTACCTATCTGTAACTACAATCAATTCTGTTATTCTTCTTTCAAAAAAAGCTTTTTTTCATCGTAGCTAGTCATTGCTGTTCCATTTCTAGTTTTAATCAATGCTTATTGCGCTAACTTTTTTTTTAACAAGCTGCTTTGTGAGGTTCACCTGAAAAGTGGTGTGTAAGTATCTTAAATATATGATTAGTATAAATATGATGCTTAACTTTCATTGATAGACATCCCTTCCATGAATGCTTCATCTTTTCTAAATCCATCTCATTTACATGAGGTGTATAGAACATGCTCTAAGAGTAAGTTACACCATGACCATAAGCGTGTGCTCAGGATTGCAGCCTTAATGTTATGTGTGCATAAAACATCCTTTCGTTGTAAACATTGTGACCGGTCAAGAGTCCTGATATTTAGAGTGGCATAATCTATATCTAACAATAGATTTTTGTTAATAGGATCCTGGACACTAGTTCAGGAGTGTTGTGTTTTTAAAGACCAGCACCATTAACCTTGGTACCGCACTTCATTGTGTTTAATTAGCAAGCTAATGAAGACCGTCTCCTTCCTTCCTTCAACCACAAGAGGATAAATGCAGAGCTCTGGGAAAAAGAGTAGACTTACCTGTTTGGAATTCAATTCATTGCTGTGTAATGAAATATTTATCAAATATATACCCTAAGTTTTGCAACACTTCAGCAATATGTGCTCTGTACGACATAACTCCTATTTCTACAAACCGTATTATATCATGGGGCTTTATTGGGGGGGAGGTGGAGATGAACACAATGTCTGAACATTTGGGCTGCAGGGAAATTTGCAAACAAAACACGAGGCATGAACATAATGTTTTCATCAACATATCTTCAGATACTAAAAAAAAAAATTCAAAGTACACAACAGTGTTTTTGCTGCTGCTGCTTTTTAAAAAGTGACAGACTGTCATGTTTCACTATTTGTAGCAAGTTATTACTAGAAACCATCCCCACACATGCAGCTGAGGTCAAGCTGCTTTTAAATAACCCACTCTTTTCTCACAGTACAAAAAATACCCCATTCACCTAATCTTCCGACAAACTACAGTAGAATCTTGGTACTGAGTTTTCATCAGTACCAACAGCTTCTGCTTAGTTTTATTAACTGTGTCTTCTGGAGGGCTAGAAGGTGGGCCTGTTCCAAATCAAAAACACATATACCATATTTTTTAATTAAAAAAGAGACAGCTGAGGCCATTCACAAAAACAGATGTTCACCCACTCGCCGATTCAACTGACCACCCTGGAAAGATTCTCACAATACACACCCTGTGTTTCCCTTTCCCCCTTTTAAATTACACTTCCTAAAAGTCAATAAAAGCATTTCCCTCGAAGCAAACCGCCAAGTGGTTTTGGACCGCGAGGTCAACGGGACTCACTCCCAGGTAAGTACGTACAGGATTGCAGGCTAAAAGGCAACTTTCAATTTGATCCCACTACGAGTGCAAGTGTGATGTACTGTACTGTTCCCGGTTTTAAACAACAAAGCAGTAGAGCCGCAAACCTCCTATCTGCAAATAAGCACCCAGGACTACAGCTAACAAGAAAAGAAAATAAATACGCAGGCAGAGAGAAACAAATCGTCTAAAGATTGCCCCTGTATACAAAGCCCTGCTTCCAACCAGCAGAGCGGTGTATGGTTACAAGAAGGCTGAATTTCGTGAGTAGAAACACAAGCACACATCCCTAGCATTGTTGTCCAAAGCTACCCTGCTCCTTCCAGAAATATCTGACTGCACAGAGAGCTCCCATGGAAAAAGGACCACTTACAACCCCTTCACACAAGGAGACAAAGATCTATGCAAATGCACAACCCTGTTAGACAAATGCACTGCTGCTTTGATCACTACCACATATCATGGGTTTTTTATATATATATAATATATATATAGGCACCCTCCCTCTCCCCTTTCAGTTTGATTGAAGGAGTGGGGCGGGTGTTTGAGAACCAGGCAGGGGGGCGGGGGGAGGAAATAAGAGCTATCACTGTTTACAATACAGCACACAAAAACGGGGAGAAAGAGAGAAGCCTGTGACAGGGAATATATAATAGGTACCCTGAACAAAGGAACACCCTGTCCAAGGGACAGCCACCGCTGCCGCCGCCACTTTGCTGGTTTTAACCCCTCCCCAGGATTTCAGAGCACATTCCAAAACAAACCCACAAAGGCAGAGGGAATCATTGTCTTTGGGAAAACAAGAGGGAGAAAATGGTTAAATGCAAAATGGGGGAGGGAGACTGTTCTGTTCCAATGCAGGGCTTCTTCGCTCCCCTCTCTCTCTTTCTCACTTTGCTTAGATATGATTTAAACACAACCCCAAAGGAGGTTAAGAAAGGCGGTGCCTGAATGAGCCCCCTTCATCTTTCAGGCTGCACGCGGTGTGTAAAAAAAAAACAGAGAGAGATGGGGAACAACAGCTGCAGCAGCAGCACACCCGGTTTAAAACCAGCAGCCTTTGCTGCTGGTGCTGCTGCTATGATCTTTATTATACAATACACCCAAAGCAAGCCAAAAAAATAATAATAATATGCCTGCTCTTCTCCATGCTTGGTGTAGAGCGTGACAAGTTACTACACAGGAGGAACCTTAAAAAGAGAGCAACGCGGAGGGGGGAGGGAAGCTAGCAAGGGAGGGTGCTGCAGGCAAACAAGTTGGGGGGCAAAAGCTACGTGTCCCTCCCCACCCCACACACGCGTGATGTGCGAATTGGCCCCCTTTTCCTGACGCTGGCAAGAATGGGGCGGGCGGAGGAAGCTTGCTAGTGTGGGAAAGTGGGGCTGGAGAGGGGGACGCGAGCTGCTGCTGCTGCTGCTACTGCTGCTTTAAAAGATACAAATCAATCCCTCCACGCCATGCTGCTTGCTATGGGGCCGGGCAGTTACGTCAGCGCCTGTTATTATTCCGTGGCCACGAGATTGGTGCGGGTTCTTGTGCGCGCGCTGCGTTTTCGTCGGTGGGGACGGCGATCGCCGTCCACGTTTCTCCACAGAGCCAGCCCCCCCCCATCACCACGAAAAAATAAAAATCAGGGGCGAGATTTTCTCTCTCTCTCTCTCCAGACCCCTCCCCCACCTCCAAAAAGCCATCAAAACAAGGAGGCACAACAAAAGCAAGGCGAGGAGCCAGCCATGGCTTCGGCGAGGAAGGAGAGAAAGGAAAGAAAGGGCGCAACCCCCTCCTCCCTCCCTCGCCACCTCGAAACCCACCACCATATCTCCTCCTCCTCCTCCTCCCCCCTCGTCCAGGAGACGAAAGGCTGGGGATGGGAGGCGGGAAGAGAAAAGCAGATTTACTGCGGATCAATGTGGTGGCAACAATAAGGTTGCATTTCCATAACAAGAGAGAGGGTCTGGCACAAAAGTTGCAGCCCTGGGCTGCGAAACATCCATTGCTCGGGACTACAATACACATTCCCGTCCCCCTTTTGCTCTCCCCTTATTTAAACCGAGCTCTCTCCACCTCACCCCCCCCACGAGGGGGGGGGAGTGTAAAAAAGTAATTAAGAAGCCAGACAACGCTCAGGCTGGCACGAATGTAAATGAAGTTGCGCGCACACACACGCACATGCACCCAACAAAAGCAAGAGAATTTAAGAAAAGAAAAAGCCAGGAGCCAAGCGCAAGGCAATATAAATAAATTCCTTTGGGACAGTCACTTTGAGGGGGGGGGAGGCCTGGCCAAGCCTCTCCTCGCTTCTCCCTCCGATTGTTTACATTTGTAACTTTCATCGTGGCATGCTAGTAGTAGGCAGGGTTTAAATAATAATAAAAAGCGGCTACCACGCTAAAGCGAAAGTTTAAAGTATCACAAAGGGGGCAAACACGAGAGGGGCGGGACAATATGTTCCCTCGCCCCCACCCTCTCCAAAATTCAATTAACTTACCTCCTGGTGTTTTACAATTAGTTTAAAAAGGGGGATCACCCCTTTTTGCAATACACTAACACAATCACAGCAAGAATAATGTGAACCATCTTTGCAAAAAGGCAACCCCCGAAACCTTGAGGAATCACAACATTTCACGAAGAGCCAGGTGAGAAGGGGGTTTGGATTTAAACGTGGGCAGCCTTTAAAACCTGTTAAAGCACACTATTCAAAGGTGCCTTTTAAAGAGCAAAGTTGCACAGTATGTGTAAAATCTACCCCAAGGGAACTTCCGAAACAAGAGGAAACAGGCTTTCAAGGGATCAAGTTTAAAATCAAAAAAGGAGGAAAGACCATAAGACTATAGAGAAATAGTAAAAATCCAAGGCCTGGAGTGTCGTGTGTGTTTTCACCCCGCAGAAAGATATTTCCCCGGGGTGAAAACACACATGGCACTCGAGGCGAAGGGAAAACTCGGCACGTTTTATTCTCCGCCCCAAATGCCTCCTTTTCCAACTGATGTCAACTATTATCTTTGTTTCCAAATGCACGCCTCCAGACACCGAGCGTTTCGGCAAGCACCCTTTTAAAAAATGATGATAATAATTATCCACCTTTCTGATCAATATCAAGCTGAGCAAAAGCCCCCTCCTTCGCGACTTGCAATTAAAACACGCGGCGAGAGAAAGGAAGGCGAGAGGCTAGAAAGCAAAAAGGGGGGGGGGACACCAAAACACAACACGATTGCCACCAAATGCAAAGTTTTGTCGTTCTTTCCCCTTTAAAAAAACCAAAACTAACACGATTAACTCTTATGTTTCCCCCACTTCACGTGTTTTTTAAAAAATAAACGCCTCCTGTGTATTTGTTCCTTTTAACGCCATTAATGTTTGCAAGCCTTTAAATTTTTTAAAGGGGGGGCTAGGGACAAAATCGAAATGCAGCCCACCCCAAACTTTTTCGTTACTTACGTGTGCAGAAAGTCCCCCACAGGAAGGCGAAAGTTAACCACGAAACCATCATATTCCTTTTTCTCCTCGTGGCTATTGTTTACTCCTCCTCAGCAAGGAGGAGGGAGCGCGTAAAACGAGGGGCGAGGAGAAGAAACGAACGGGATACCGGGAGGAGAGAGAGAAAGACGGGATCTTTTCTTTAAAAATAGAGAGATATAAGATATAGGCTTTTTAAAAAAAATAAAAATAGAAAAGGCTCCTTCTTAAGAACGACAATAATTTAAAAAACAACAACAACACAACGACACCGGAGATTAAATCCTTCACAGTTTCCAACAACGTATCCAAAGTCCGAGAGAGAGAGAGAGAGATGATTCAAAACGAGAGAAAATCCTCCAGACAGGTGGCTTCTGCTCCTGTCCGGTTGGGGGGCGCAGGGCTACAGGCGACCCCCACCAGGGCCAACCCCGAAATCAAGCTGGCCAAGAGTTTCTTCGCCGGGGCGACGGTTGTGGCGCTGCTCGGAGAGCCAGGCAGGCGCGCAAAGCTTCCCTCGGCGACCTCTCCCCAAGCAGCCCTGGCCGGCCTTTTTTTCAGCAGTACCAGCAGGGGGGCCGAGAAGACATCCAAGGAGGGGGAGGGGGCACGACATGAACAGGGGAGAGAGACCGAGAGAGACCCCCCCCCCTCTCCTCCGCGGAATTGCCCTCCTCTCTTTTTGTTTTCGAAAGAAGGCAATTCAAGGAAAGCTCCCCTCGCCGAGGCGCAAGAGCGCGCGAGGGAGACAAGAGCGCACAGCCCAAGTCCGGCCACCGCTCTCGGAGGGAAAGAGCGAGGAGGCGGCAGAAGAGGCGACGCCGGAGCAAACTTTGCAATGGGGAGCCGCCGAGCGAAAGAGAGACTCCGCTGCCGCGCGAGGAGACGGAGGGAGAGCGCAGGAGCCGGCTGTGGCGGGGCTGTGCTTGCCGGTGGTGCCGAGAGAGCGAGGAGGAGGAGGAGGAGGAGAGCCGCCGCTTCTGCTGGCACCGCCGCTTCTGCTAGGGGCGCTGAGGACTGGCGGGTAGCGAGGTCCGCTCTGAGGCATCGCTCGTTGGCTTTGGCGCTCGGGGAAGGGGGCTGGCAGCGCGCGCGCCACAGCCGGAGCAGGAGGAGGTGGGGGGAGAGAGGAGGCTGGCGCTGCAGTTGCCATGTACAGAGGCGCGCTCCCGCCCGCCGGTGCGCGCGCGCGCACTCACACACACACTCGCGCGCGCGCATATATACATTACCCCTTCCCTCCCTCCCGGCACGCAGAAAACAAAACAAAACCCTGAGTCGATTCCAAAATGGCTTCTGCAATGGGGGGGGGATCTGAATTGGAGAGGAGATGGTGAGCGAGGGAGTGTTTGTGTGCACATATATATTAATATATATATATTATGAGAATTTTGAGAGATGGATCTAGGTATACAGTATGTATATGTACACAGACACGCGCGCACACGCACGCACACAAGGAGCCAGTTAGGGGAAACCCGGATGTTTGATACAAAGAGAGAGAAGGGGAGGGAATCGTGGGGGGGGGGGAGAGAGAGGCGGGACCAAGGAAGGGTCTTGGAGGATGCTTAGCCGATGACTGGGGGAGGGCGCCTGTTTGTCAAGGCGCACCGAGGGGGCAGGGCTCGGGAGGGGAGGCAAGGGAGGAGACCGGCTGTCAGGCAGCGCGCGGAGCTCGAGCAAGCGTGTTTCCCCCTCTCCTGCGCGCGACTCGGTCTTCAGGTAACCGATTCCCACGTTACGAAGAGAAGCAAATCCGGGATTTGCCCCTGCGAGGCCAGAACGACCCTCGGAAGCGAAGGCCGGCGAGGAGCAGCTGACTTGAGTGTCGTGCACACGAGTGCTGGCACGCGTTTGTTGTTGCGCGCACGCTTTGACGTTTGGAATCATGGTGCGCTTTGTAAGAATTGCTTGGAGTGGACCTAATGAGAGACTACCCTTGTCTCAAAATGTAAGGTGCGAACCCAAATCCTGAATATTCCCTGGTACCCTCCTGGTGGAGGCCCCTGGACTTGCCCCTGACAGAATTCTAAATTGGGCGTAAATTGGGTGCAGGCCGGATGATTTAATCTACAGGAGCTTTGGCATTGATAAGGCAGGGTGTGGACTGTATTAATGAACGCAGGGAGCTGAGGGAGAGATATGCCCCGGAGGCTTTTGATAATGCATTCTGGGAAACCTAGAAACGACCATCCTTTCCAATCGTGTATGTTCAAGCATGCAACCCAAGGGCATCTATTCCCTCATCGTTAGCCTTCGCAGGGTATGTGCGAAAAAATATCATCTATTTTTTTGTTCAGAAACCAGGTGATTTTTCTTTTGGTAAGCTCTCCTCTTTATCAGAAAGCTCATTTCCACTACTGCCCTTAAGCTGAAGTTCTGTGCCTTTTAGTAACAGGCAAATTACATTTGACCCTGGCGAACATATATAATGAAGCTCCGGCTTCAAAACTAAAATAAAACAGTTGCCCTGGAAGGAGGGAGTTTCTAGCGGATGGTACTTCACCCTTCCCTGCCAGACCTTTTCCCACCCTCAGATTGTTTATTCCAGCTCCTTTTCATCCAAGATGCATGCCTCTCCTTAGAAACAGGCATCTGGCGCCCCAATAGGGAAGGAGCAACTTTGCTTAGAAAAAGGGGGGGGAATGATAAGAGGTGTATAAAAATTATGCATGGTGTGAGGAAAGTGGACAGAGATAAGTTTTCGGCCCTCTCCAATACAGTGGAACTTCAGGTTACATACACTTCAGGTTACAGACTCTGCTAACCCAGAAATACCGGTAGTGCTTCAGGTTAAGAACTTTGCTTCAGGATGAGAACAGAAATCGTGCAGCGGTGGCACAGCGGCAGCAGGAGGCCCCATTAGCTAAAGTGGTGCTTCAGGTTAAGAACAGTTTCAGGTTAAGAACGGACCTCCAGAATGAATTAAGTACTTAACCTGAGGTACCACTGTACTACTACAACACTGGGGCAGTCCAATGAAGCTTGAATGTCTGCAAGATTTGAGATGGGGCAAAAGAAAGGACAGCAAATAGTTAAACTTTGGAATTCTTTCCAGCAAGAGCCAGTGGTGACCACCAAGTTTGATGGCTTTGAAAGAGGATTAGGCAAATGCATGGAAGATAAGGCTATGGGGCGGCCTCGGAGGACCATATAACACCGGTCTTGAAAGACCTACATTGGCTCCCAGTACGTTTCCGAGCACAATTCAAAGTGTTGATGCTGACCTTTAAAGCCCTAAACGGCCTCGGTCCAGTATACCTGAGGAGCGTTCCCCCGTTCTGCCCGGACGCTGAGATCCAGCGCCGAGGGCCTTCTGGCGGTTCCCTCATTGCAAGAAGCAAAGCTACAGGGAACCAGGCAGAGGGCCTTCTCGGTAGTGGCGCCCGCCCTGTGGAACGCCCTTCCAGCAGATGTTAAAGCGATAAACAACTACCTGACATTCAGAACACATCTTAAGTTTTTAACGTGTGATATTTTACTGTATTTTTGGTTTCTATGGAAGCCGCCCAGAGTGGCTGGAGAGGCCCAGCCAGATGGGCGGGCTATAAATAATAAATTATTATTATTATTATTATTATTATTATTATTATTATTATTATCCATCAGTGGCCACCAGTTATGATAGCTATGCTGTGTCCCCACAGTCTGAGGAAGCCTGCCTCTTAATACCAGTAACTGCAAATTGGAGGAGAGAATAGTTCTGCTAGCTTGCTGGTTTCCCACAGCCATCTGGTTGGCCACTGTGAGAACAGGGCCTTCTTATCTTCCTTCTTATCTTCCTGAGGCTGTTTTCTTGTTTTAAAAAGTCATGCCTCCTTTAACACAAGCATCTGTGTACAACATGCAGCTTGCCCCTCTGTACCTCCACTCTTCTCAAGGGCACGAAGTCGGTAGCAGCAATTCAATAAAACGAAGCATGGAACAGAAACAAAACGTCCAGTTGAATTTAGAACGATTCCATGTTTGCCTGCTTCACCCTGGCTCTTGAAGGATGCCCAGCTCAAATTCAAAGTCTGAAGGCTCTTCCAGGAAGCATCTAGGTCAGGGTGGTCCAATGCACGGCCTGAGGGCAACATGTGGCCCTCAAGCCCTTTTTTGTGGACCTAAGCAACATTTGACACACACACACACACACACACACACACACCCTGCAGCCCTTGCTCTGCCTTCCTGAAGCCAAGTAAGCAAGGCTTGGGGAAGGAGGTGTGAGGGCTCTGAAAAGGTCCTAGAGCAGTCTGGGTCAGCAAGGTTTATCTTGACTGGGCCAGATTGGTCCCACAGAGTTCCCACTGTGGCCCAGATCTTGTGAGCATGTGTGCCCGCAATTTCCGGTGTCTGTGCATGTGCAGACGCAATTTCCGGCGCTGCGGAAGCAAGTCCCCATGCCGTGCAGCGCCGGTTTAGCGCAGCGCACGAGCGGGCAGCTCAGCTCAGGGGCGGCTTGTGGGCCAGCCAAACGACCTCCACGGGTTGCTTCCGACCCATGGGCCTTAGGTTGTTGACCCCTGTCCTAGAGCCCTCCCTCCTTCTCAAAGCCTAGTTAGCACTTTCCCAGTCTTGGGAATGAGGTGAGAGAGCTCCGGGACCCTCTCTTAGCTGGCTTTGGGTGCCTGTTTGGGAAGAAAAGAGGTCCACAGTTGTGGAACAGCCATTGAAGGGGTCTTTCTGCAAGCAGAGAGCACTTGGTTGATTTTAATGCAGTGGTGCTGGTGTAAAGAGAAGGGGTGTGGGATGGCTGGGTGAGGCAAACACCTCCAGCACCTGATGCTGAATGTCAGAAAAGGGCAGCAAATTGTTTAATTTATCATGGTTGTATATTTCTTGCCTGAGAGAGGGAGAGGTGTTTGTGAGATTCTCACATGTTTGGACTTGGGTATTATATACCTTGAACATAGGCTGCTGCCTGCGTCAAGGCACACCCATTTGACCTTTTCTTGAGCGTTCATCCTTGAGCATTCATTCTTGATGAAAAGCTTACGTGGAGGTTAGATTATATCTGGTCTTCATGAAGCATTTGTTCCGATTTGTTTGTGCAGAATCTCGGTCCTGCGTTCTTCCAGGTATGCTTGTGGTTTGCTTACACCTCTTATAATTAATCATTTATCCATCCCAAACCTTTTGGCACATTTGCCTATCACTTTCCTAACTACAAAAAGTCTCATTATTGCCATATTTGCGCGAATCTAATGTGCCATTGAATCTAATGCACACCTTAGCTTTCAAAACCTTGAAACCAAAAGGGTATTTGCTGGCTGGTGCAATCAAGTCTAATGCACACCCTAATTTTCACGATGTAATTTGGCAAAAAAAAAAAAAAGGTGTGCACATTACATTCAAGTGAATACGGTAAGTCTGATTATTTTTTTAAAACGGCTATGCTCACAGTGTTTCTCAAACTTGGGTCTCCAGCTGTCATTGGACTACAACTCCCATCGTGCCACAAGTGAGAGCTGAGTGCAAGGTGGAGACCAAAAGTAGACAAGCTACCCTAGAAGGAGCATGACTTTACCCCCACCAGAGGTACTCCTCAGCATCCAAAACTCCCATTGTTCTAGGCTCATTTTGCGACAGGGAATTTCATTAATGCGAGCTCTGGGCGCAAAACTGCGCCTAAGATTTCAGATTAAAACTGCCACTGCTGGAAGGAAAAGAGGACCTTTCTCTGTCTCTGCGCTTCCAGCCACTCTCTGAAGACCGGTGAAAGGGCCCTCGTAAGAATATTAGGGGGGCAGACAGGGGCAGTACGACTTTGTTTTTATGCAGTCTTAAGATGAGGACTTAAGGGACGCGGGTGGCGCTGTGGGTAAAAGCCTCAGTGCCTAGGGCTTGCCGATCGAAAGGTCGGTGGTTCGAATCCCCGCGGCGGGGTGCGCTCCCGTTGCTCGGTCCCAGCGCCTGCCAACCTAGCAGTTCGAAAGCATCCCCGGGTGCAAGTAGATAAATAGGGACCGCTTACTGGCGGGAAGGTAAACGGTGTTTCCGTGTGTGGCTCTGGCTCGCCAGAGTAGCTTCGTCAAGCTGGCCACGTGACCCGGAAGTGTCTGCGGACAGCGCTGGCTCCTGGCCTCTAGAGTGAGATGAGCGCACAACCCTAGAGTCTGTCAAGACTGGCCCGTA